ATAATAATAATAAATTAATGTTTTACTTGTTTGACAAATCCATATACTTTTATTAAAACTACCATATATACTTTGTAATTACGAATTCTATTAAAAGTTGCATTTGTCAGTGTACGCAGAAATAGTCCATTAGTATCAAAACGAATTGGCGCTGCTGTCGCGCACGGAGCGAATAGTAGAATTTTAAACAATTGAATAAAAGTTCGGTCACAATATTAGTCGCGTCAAAGTAGGTTTTCACTTCGAACTTTGGTCGGAAAGGTCCAATCGGGCTAATTTTTTTTGCAAAATGTTCATTGAGACATGAGATTCAAAGTTCACTAAAATCTAGATGCCGCTCGGTCTCCCTCCCCCCAAATTCACCCCAATTGGGGGGAATTCTCGACTTTTTTCAACAAAAGGCGTATACTTCATAAAACTGCAGTCCCAAGCGGGGTAAATGTTCCACTCGGGGGTTTTAAAGTATCCTGAATCGATTATTTGGGTCAGGTCGCCTTTGCGACCTTCCCAGGGATGGGTGACAGGGCCACTGGGGGTCCAATATACTAGATGTCCGTGGAAATGTATTTGGGCTCCCAAATTGCGCAAGGGGAGTTTAGAAGGGCGGAGATCTCAATGTCATCGAGAATTAAGCCTTTTCAAGCCCTCAGGGTCGTATAAAAAGGGGCCTATGTGGTCTCAAATATCATGATTACGCAGGATTGAATTTCAGGACACAGAATTGGTACGCGCTAGTGTTATAAAACAAACAAATCTAAATTTGGGCAGCCTGTCATCCTGTGACCCAACCAGGGGTGTCCGAACAGGGTGCTGGGCCCAAAATATGAGATTTGATTTTATTTGATATCAAAATATAAAATTGATATAATTTCTCCACCGAGTATACTTCTTGGTCTTTTAGAGTCTCTGACGAACCTAGATATGGCTGATAGGGGGGCCCAAATTTAAATTCTCGTAAAATTCAATTTTCTCATATAAAGTTGATGACGGCATAATGATAGTTTTTAAGGGCGTTGAACCTACCTTAAGTTATGGTCTATTATAATTCCAAGGTATTTTATTTTTCTTACAGGGGTAATGCTCAACGTATTTCCAACAATAAGGTTATAATCCGGAAGAGCGTTACTCTAAGAACTAATTTGTTTTTTTAAAGTTTAATGACAAGAGCCTAAGTCTTGTTCTAATTTTATCTTTAGAGTATATCAGTTACTATCTTCACAAAATATCAGATGAATTGTAGACTTAGATCCCCAGCAAACTCTTTTCCGGGAGGTTCAAGAGTGTATAAGTCTGATAAAGAATTGCAATTAAGAACCTTCAAGATTTCGTGTGATGTGATGGCCAAGTGCCCCAACCCTAAACATCGAGATAATGTCCTTGTTGATCTGGGCATGTCGTTGTATTGGCTAAGATTAAATGCCACTCGAATAAACCATTGGTTAGCTGCCTGGTCAGCGCAATTATATGAATTTTATATAATGAAATCGAATCAAATCGAGTCCCAGGGGAAACTTGATAGTTTCACCCCCTCGGCACCCTCGTTCGTGGAGCTCTGGAGCCGCCTGCTTGCAAGTCAGGGCAACATAAAATTACACTCTTACAAACCCTCATCATACCAACTTTGTATGAGAAAATGGAATTTTACGAGAATTTAAATTTGGGGCCCCTTAGAACCCTTATCGCTCATACCCGGGTTCGTCAGAGACTCAAAAAGGCTAAGGAGTATACTCGCTGACGGAATTATATCAATTTTACATGTTGACATTAAATAAAATCAAATCTCATATTTTGGGCCCCTGTACCCCTTTCGGATACCCTTGGTTGGGTCAGAGGATGACAGGCTGCCCAATATAGAGTTTGTAGTTTTATAACACTATCGCGTACCAATTCTGTGTCCTGAAATTCAATCCCGCGTAATCATGAAATTTGAGACCCCATGGGCCCCTGTGTATACGGCTCTGATGGCTTGAAAAGGCTTAATTCTCGATGAAATTGAGATGGCTTCCTTCTAAACCCCCCTGACGCAACTTGGCAGCCCAAACACATTTCCACAGACATATCATATTTTGGACCCCAAGACCTGTCACACACACACACACACCCCTGTGAAGGTCGCAAAGGCGACCTAACCCAAATAATGGATTAAGGGCACTTCAAACCCCCCGAGTGGAACATTTGCCCCGCTTGGGACTGCAGTTTTAGAAAGTATGTGGCTTGTTGAAAAAAGCCGATAATTCCCCCCCAATTGGGGTGAATTTGGGGCGGGAGGAAGGCCGAGCGGCATCTAGATTTTGGTGAACTTTGAATCTCATGTATCAATGAACATTTTGCAGAAAAAAATAGCCCAATCGGACCTTTCCGACCAAAGTTCGAAGTTTCTGCGTTTTTAGTCCTACTTTGACGCGGCATATTTAAATATATTTTGTGATTTCAATATTTTTATTTTTAATAACTTTTTGATTACGATATTTTTAATTTTCAACGTTTTACATAATTTTCGATAAAATCTTTCCTACCAAAACAAGATGTATTTCCAATTTACTCATTTAAACCTGATTATGGAAACTAACTTTATTAAAATTATTTACTTTGTACAATTCTGCAAATAACGACGTTATGCTAAACGCAAGTTAGATTACATAGAAACTGCCTAGCCGACAATAAAATTACTGACTCAAAAAAGACGACCAAAGCTAATTCTGCTTTCTAAATTAAATTCATTCCCTGTTTTACTGTTGTAATAAAATAGTAAAATTTAAACTTGTTTTTTAAATAGCTATTTAGATAATTGGCGCAGTCAGTAGGATACGCGAAGATTTTCTGACAAAGTATCCAAAGTGAGAGAAAATATTTTTTTCTATCTAATGTAGCTCACTGGATTATTTTATTAGAAATTTTTAAATTAAGAAAAAAAGTGTCTAGTGAAATGAAAACCACATTTTATAAAATTCCGGAAAGAACGTGTTACGGGTTTTATTTTCGTATTAAGTTTTTCTTCTTCTGAGATTACTAGCGAACCTGGTTAGGGGAGTTTGACAATTTGAATCCATCTAACAGGACAGGCTACTCGTAATAAATAATCATAAACACAACTTTTTTTCTGTTACAGGTTATCTCAAATTATTGCGTGAAAAGACAACAACATCGGCCTTTTTCTCACATCGTTATGGATTTATATCAAGAGACTGTGTCTGCCTTAGAAGTTGTAATGGAAGCGTCTTGGGGTCCGCCAGCTATGCCGACGTTACAGCCTAGGACAATAAATTGGTGAGAAACTAACCTAAAACTTTTCCTATTTAAACTTGTTCTAATCCGATAATGAGACTTCTTTTTGAATGTAGTCAATACGATAAGATAGAAAATATCACAATTTTATACCGTGTGTTCGTTTATAGTAGATTCGTGATCGAGATGGAGTAATAAATCTGTCGGATCAGGAAATTTCAGGTGTGGGTGCCTATATTATTATTTACAGGGTTCATAAAATCATCATTTAAAAATATTTTGTATTTGAATATGTATTATTGAGTATTGTAATGTTTGTTTATTTATTAATAATTTATTTAAACACTTAACAGGAGTTAAGAAAAAAGTGCAACGAAACTGGCGTACGTCCGTTTTATAATAACACAATTATATATAAAATATAAAGTAAACTGAATAATTAAAAAATATCTCAATAAAAAGGTGTTAGTAGCATGCCAAAAGGCATTGTTTCACATTTTTTTATTTATCTATTGTATAAATTGAAAAAATTTGAATTCATTCAATCATTTGTACAATGTAAATCTGGCTTTGGATAAACCAACCTCAAAAGTTGCCACGAGAAACAACAACAAATATGGTTGCCGAAGAAAAGAGGATGGGAGTACTTTTAATTTAATTTAGTTTTTAGTTTTAGATATAAGTTAATTTAATAATATTTTAGATTAAGTAAAAGTATTTTCACCGGAACATGTCTTTACCAGGACCTATTTATATCAAATGCATATTATTAGATTGTAATAGTAAATTTTATTGGCCCATTTATAATTATTTATGTGAACAAACGGTTTTTTAGATTTCCTTTAGATATTGAAGTTAGAAAAAAATGGTGTCAAATTTTAAAAATTCCTCTCATTTGTCTTGCATCTAATCATCAGAGGTTGTGTGAAAATCATTTTGGTCAAAATTCGTTTACCAACCCCAAACGTACAAGGACTCTTAAAATTTGCTTTGCCTTTAGCACCCTTGACAACAGAATTAACACCAAAGATAAAGATAGTAGTGCTAAGTAATGTTGTTATCAAATCACCTGACAAATTACCTGTCAAACGAAAGTTAAATTTTAATAATACAGATCAAAATTTCAATACCAGTCTTTCATTACTTGAATTTGAATTATTACCTAAGAAACAACGTTTATAAAAAGGATTTTTAAATCAAATTACTGAGACTCGAGTTAATAGTATATCTTCTAGAAAGAAAAAGCTTTTTTTTTATTCATAGACATCAGAAAAGTAGGATTTGTCCTAATTAATTCAACAAATAAAAATAAAAATGTAGTCAAAATTTCAGTGTCAAAGATATTTAAAGAATTTAATTCCAAGTTTGATCCTGCAGGTACTACATCTAATTCAAAAAAGCGTAAGCCTTTTTGGTCAACATCAGCTAAAGTATTGTCATTAGCTTTGTATAAGAAGGGCCCACGAGCTTATAATTTTTTAAAACATTTTCATTCTTTACTTAGTGAATCTATACTACAGTCACTTTAAAGATCAATACCATTTGAAATGGGTATTAACAAATTCATTTTTAATAGGCTTAAGAAAAGGGTTGCTAAAATGAAACAAATTGATCGAAACTGTGTTTTATTGTTTGACGAAATAGCTCTTAAGCGGCGTCCACACTATGCCGCGGTTGGCTGTTGGCACTGCCAATTTGGCAAAGCCAATACAATGTAGACGTGGCCGTTGGCATGTGCCGCTGAGCCAATGATTTGCCAACGAAAATCGCTCTAGTGTCGGTCTCCATCAAAGGAAGCCGGTGAAAGCCGGTAGTGGGGACGAGCCAACCGTTGTCTTCACGCGGCACGCACGTGGTTCAGTTGTGGCTGAGACAGCGCAGTATTTAGTCATGGAGTGGACCAACGCGAAAGTGTGTGAACTTATTGAGCTTTACCGTGATCGTCCTGTTCTGTGGGACTGTCGTTTGAAAGAGTACAAAGACAGAAATAAGAAACAAGATGCTCTACAAGAAATCGCATGTACTTTTGGTGTTGATCAACAAGTTGTAGAAAAGAAAATTAAGAACCTAGTGTGTCATTTTTTACGTGAAATAAAGAGGGAGAGAGACTCAAGCAAGTCTGGTGCGGGAAATTCTGATATGTACAAGAGTAAATGGTTCTGCTTCAACAACATGCTGTTTCTCAAGGATAGAAATACACCTAAAGAAACGACGGACACAATCAAGCAGGTAAATATATATTAACACAGTAAATTCATAGAATAATTAGTAATTATATTTTACATTAATATAAACACATATGACATAGTTTAGGGCTTATTATTTGTCGTGTTGAAAGGATACTATTCCAGCCGGGGAAGTAAAGAAGTCTGCAAATTCATTTCTAACGGCTTGTGCCTCATCAGTGCTTCTTCTTGAAGTTCGAGGAATGTTGACCAAAGCTTGATTTGAAGGGCATTCTCTCCAAGTTCCTGGATTGATCTCACCTGTGGTTGAGCACTCAGAGTCGAATGTTCCGGGGGGATTGTACACTGATTTGGAGTTACTTTTCCTCAAGTAGTTGTGCAGATAAAGTACTGCCAACACCATCATCTTAGCCCGCTCTGGTTGTAATAGCATAGGTCTTCGTAGTATGCGGTACACAGAGGATAGTATGCCAAACGCATTTTCAGACACTCTACGTGCTCTACTTAACCGATAGTTAAACACTCTTTCCTTGGAATTCTTTTTTTTGAGCTCCTGGAAATGGTTTCATAATGTTTTTTGACAAAGGAAAAGCATCATCGGCCACAAAAACATACGGTGTTTCATCTATTCTTCCAGGAAGAGCAGTAGGAGGAGGAAGATGCATTGTGTTGTTCTTAAGGCAATCTTTGAATGTTGTGTGACTAAACACACCTCCGTCTGATATTCTTCCTTGACAGCCAACATTTGCGTAGATAAAGTTGTAGTGTGCATTTACCACCGCAAATAGAACTATACCGAAAAACCCCTTGTAGTTGAAATATTCTGTGCCACTATGGATAGGTGCTTGCAACATAATATGCTTCCCATCAAAGGCCCCTACACAATTTGGGAAATTCCACTTATCATTGAACTCTTTTGAAATAACTTTCCACTCTGCTTCATTTTGTGGCATCTGAAACAAAATTATATATTCAATCATTAATGCAATATTCAATCATTAATTTTTTCTTTTGTTTTAGGACGAGCTTACAAATGATGATGAAGATTCTGCAAACGAAACCCAGTTTGTCGACCAGGAACAAGTTGCTGGAACAAGTAAAGACACACCTAAAAGAGGTGACAATGAAAATAAAAGTTTGCCAAAGAAACTGCCAGGCGGATGCCCACAAAAGAAACAAAAGACATCAGCTACAGAAGAAGCTCTGTCAATTATCAGGTTTGGATCAGTTCAAGACTTTTGGAGAGCTAGTAGGACTGCGTATTAAAGACCTCCCATCGTTAAATGCTCAGAAAATTGTAAAACACCTTATTAGCAATATTCTGTTTGAAGCTGAAATGGGCAAGTACGACTATGGCAACCCATTGAGCGGAAATTACTCACAGCCTTTCTACCCAATACCGAACTACTTACAACAACCGATTCCTGCCCCGATGACACCAAACCCAAACCCATATTTTGAGCAGCCGTCTTTTCATGGACAAACACAAGCAACCTCTCCACAATCAGCCATGAGTCCCACGTCTTCAATCCTTACGGTAACGGACAATGACTCTCTTGACAATATATTGATGAAGCTGTAGTTCCCACCTCATCTCTTCAAAATTTAAATTCGAGTTAGACTTTTGTTCATTTTTTGTTGTAATAAACTTAAGACACATTTTAACCGAGTAAATGTTTAATTTGTAATAGAGAATGTTTTGTTCTAATAAACTTGAGACACATGTCGACCAATAAATGTTTTATTTGTACTAGACTGAAAGGGATCGTATTTAATTCCGTCCCCGTTGAATGGCAATATAATGCGTCCACCTATTCTATCGCTTTTGACCGCGGTAAATTCCAGGAACCAAAGTCGTGGATGCGCTGGAACAGTAGCAGAGAATCATCGTCATAGGAACGGGAATTAATTATTGAATGTCAGTGATTGAACGTGGAGAATGGAATGTCCGTCATTGTTGAAAAGGTTTAGTTTTTTTTGTTAGTTTTATTTGTGATAAAAATGTAAGTACCTTTTTAAATCAATTATTATGTTTTAATTACTTTTATATTATTTAACTAGTTGATGATTTACTATTTAGATTTGAATTTCACTGTTATAAGTAATTTCATGATTTTTCTTGACGGCATTTTTTTGTATCTGTCATAAAAAATTGCTTGCATTCCAATAACGAGTTTATTTGATTTTAATACTTATTTTACTATCTAAATCAGTGAAAAATAGCATCCTTTTAATATTTTAATTTAAATATTTTTGAAGTTTATTGATATTTTGTAGTTATACCAAGGAAAATTTGCTATAATTTTTATTTGACATTGAGATTATTTTTTTAGTCATTTTTAAAGTTCGGCAAGGGAAAAGTAATATTATATTAGTAAATTATGTGTTTTTCTAACATCAGATATTCACAGCATTGGCAGATCTAAGTTAAAAGTATAAAATGCCTTGTTGATTGATACTAACATTTTCGCCCGTGGCTGGGACAACATCGGGATAGGTGTCCCGGTAACTTACCCTATTTTGTCACCAGAATATTCAACTCTAGGTGGGTAGTAAAGCTGTAGAACTTCCCCATTACCTTGTCCCTATTAACCCTTCTTCAGTTTTGCATCGAGTGTTTTTGAACCTAGTAATGCTCAATGTTTGTTATCTGATGAGTTATTGTTCTTAAAATATTTATTTTATTTTTGCCTTGTCATTTGTATCCAAATTGACGTTTGATTGGTTTTATTGTATTTATTATAACTTTGGGGTTTTCTTGCTGGTTCTTTCCCCTCATTTGATAAATTAATTATTTTTTTTTATTGCACCGAACCAGACCTATATTTAATCTTTATAAATATATTTTATATACTTATAAATTTTTACTTTCTGATTCTGTCATCTATAATATTTTCAATAAAGATTAGATATAAATCAATAGATATTTTCTTTTAACCTTTACCACTCCCTCAATAACACGTAAGTAGCCAATAGATAACGAATCTTTCAATCTGTCACTCGTGGTGTCCTAATCACTTCATAGTCGATCACGCCGCCACTTTACTTATCATACTTTTATAAAAGAGAGAGAGATATTAGTTAAGTTGTCTCTCTTTATTTCAGTTGGTTACACTACAAGACTATTTTTTCTTACCTTGATGTAATCCTGTAAAACGCTGACAATTGCTTCACAAACAATCGGGATGATGACTGATATTATTTGCTTTGAAATCTTGAATGTGTAACTTAATGAGTGGTAAGAGTACCGTTGCTAAAAACCGCAGAGTAACTGCAAGGCGTTCATGTGGAGGAATAGCACTTCTGAAGGGTGTGTCTTGTTTCTGGATGATATGAGCTATCTTATTTAGAAGATCTTCAAAGTCACTACTTTTCATTCGAAAGAAGTTTTTGAAACCATATCCAGATCTGTACTCGAGATTTAATTCGTCTGCATCATCCAATAACAAATCCTTCATTAACTCACTAGTTCCGTATTTTCTTCTACTTTGAAGGCTTGGACGCACCCAAAACCGTCGTTTGCGCCGTTTACGCACTTTTTCGCTGTTTTCAACGATAATTCGAAATTTACACATTTTTTCAAATATATCGAATACGGTCCATTTTAGAGAAATTATGTATAGAATAAAAATTATAGAGAATTATATTACAAACAACTTTTATTTGAACAATTTTTATAAAAAAAATATTTTTTTTACATTTTGTCAAATTTCTCGATTACGGACCATTTTAGGAAAATTTTGTATAAAACAAAAATTATAGATGATTATATTAGAAGTAACTTTTATTTAAAGAATTTTCTTCTCCAAACGTAAATAACAGATATATTTCATAAAATATAAAAATGACCACCTATAAAGTACCCCCCCAGATGTTCCGACTCTGCCCAAAATATAATCAGTTCATTAGACGCGTGAATAAAGCTTAAGTTTAAAATTAACACACACACACACACATACACACACATACACACACACACACACATACACACACATACACACACATACACACACATACACACACATACACACACATACACACACATACACACACATACACACACATACACACACATACACACACACACACATACACACACATACACACACATACACACACATACACACACATACACACACATACACACACATACACACACATACACACACACACACACACACACACACACACACACACACACACACACACACACACACACACACACACACACACACACACACACACACACACACACACACACACACACACACACACACACACACACACACACACACACACACACACACACACACACACACACACACACACACACACACACACACACACACACACACACACACACACACACACACACACACACACACACACACACACACACACACACACACACACACACACACACACACACACACACACACACACACACACACACACACACACACACACACACACACACACACACACACACACACACACACACACACACACACACACACACACACACACACACACACACACACACACACACACACACACACACACACACACACACACACACACACACACACACACACACACACACACACACACACACACACACACACACACACACACACACACACACACACACACATACACACACATACACACACACACACACACACACACACACACACACACACACACACACACACACACACACACACACACACACACACACACACACACACACACACACACACACACACACACACACACACACACACACACACACACACACACACACACACACACACACACACACACACACACACACACACACACACACACACACACACACACACACACAGACACAGACACAGACACAGACACAGACACACAGACACACAGACACACAGACACACAGACACAGACACACAGACACAGACACACAGACACACAGACACAGACACACAGACACAGACACACAGACACAGACACACAGACACAGACACACAGACACAGACACACAGACACAGACAC